TGTTATGGGCCTACAAAACAGAGATATGAAATATATTTTAAGCACTGCCTCAGTTCCCTGCATCTAGCGCATTCACAACCACGAAGCCACCTTAGATCCACCTTCAGCTAAAGACAAAAGATGTTGGGGGTTGGGGTGCATTTATGGGAGACTATCAAGCAAAGCACAGTAAACAAAGGTAAGGCTGTTATGCAGATTTAAGTCCTTGCCTTATCCATTGATAAGAGTTTCTAGAGATTTAGTGTCTTCCTCTTCCTGATGCAGAGAGGGAGACACTCTTAGAAATTGAGAGTTGCCGTATACAGGTAAATATCTCATACAAAAGGATAACCTCTACTTAGTTTTCAGAGCTTCTACTATGTTTGCAGTTTCTTAAAAAAAATTGGCCTAAAATAATCTTTATGCAAAGAGGCATATTTTGGGGATGGCAAATTCTGCTCCCCTTCAAATGGAAAAGGAGAGACTTTGATAAATGTTAACAGCAGTGGCCTGGGAGTCAGGAGACATTTAATTAGCTGCTTGTCTGTGCAGTTATTTCTTCTATCAGGACATTAGTTTTCTGATCTGTGAAATCGGAGTGATATTATCACTTTATACCACAGAGTTAGTTGTGCTAAGAATTAAAGATTACATATATAGGTACCTGGTGAAGTGTAAAAATATTAGTAATTGTTATTTTTAGAATATAATGATTATTTTTCTCATTTGAGTTAGGCCTTTGAATGGGCCCATGTGTCAGAGTCCAAGATGATTGTGGCTTGGTATACTAATTTGTATCTGCAGTAATTGTCAACATGATCTGGAACAGAATGTTAAATACCTGGTTAATGAGGTAGGGGTTTAACTACATTAATCATAGCTGGACTAAACTATGTGGACTAAACATACTTGTGTTAGGTAGAAACATAGTCATGAACAGGGTGGAAAGAAAGTAAAGGACTCAAAGAGCTAATCAGATAAAACCAGAGAGCCAGAAAGGACTCAGAGTTAATTAGGTGAAGTTTCAAGGGCCAGGAGTGACTTGGAATGTCCAGACATTACCCAGATGTAAAACAACTCCCCAGCTAAAGAGAAACTTCAGAGCACAGGCCCAGCAAACATCAGAGCACAGCCCATGTCTTCATTTCACGGATTAGATCAGGCCTCCAAGGCCAAGGATTGTCAGTCAAGGACTTCTCTGCCCTGCCAAAAACACCATAAAGAAGCCTCATAGTAAGCAGTCATGGCCTGTCTAACTTAGGCAGACCCACTCTGTTACAGAGTGTAATAAAACTTGCTTTGCTTTCCTGGCTTTGGTTTCATGTTTCAGTCTATCTGACTTCCCTGTGTTATTGAACCAAATTCCTTCCCAGCAGTTGGACTAAACATTAGGGTTTGACTACACTAATCATAGTTGGACTAAACTGACTCACCAGCTATTCAACCAAACTTCATGTTCACTTTTGAACTTTTGTGGTCAAGGATTCCTTTAAACAGCCAAAAGCTATGCACTGTGTCCCCAGAAAAATGCATGTAAGCACATGCATCAACTTTTTAAATAAAATTTCAATGCGGGTTTTGAAACCCAATCATGAAACCTCTAGGGGTCTCAAGAGTCCAATTTCAAAATCCCAGTTCAAAAAGAGGTATTTTCTAATTAAGATTTAAAAAAAATTTTAATTGAGATACAATTGACATGTAACATTACATTAGTTTCACATGTGTGACATGATTTAATATTTGTATATATTATGAAATTATCACAATAAGTCTAGTTAACATCTAGTTATTAACTATAGGCAACATGCTATACATTATATTTCCATGACTTATTTAGTAATTTTATAACTGGGAGTTTATAGCTTTTGACCACACTTACTCATTTGTACCTTGCTGCCACCCCTTCCCCACAGGGCAACCACCAATCTATTCTCAGTATTTATGAATTTTTTTTTAAGGTTCCACATGTAAGTCCAGAATGAGTTTTTATCTTAGTAGCCTGGATGACTGTGAAGGGAGCAGAATATGCCACCCCAAAATGTGCCAGTTTGGCATGTGGATTACTTTGAGCTGAAGGTAATCAAGAACCACCAGCAGGCTCAAGAAAAACCTTTACCTCTCCCTTGACTTTCTAAAATAATTTAAATAGGGGGTGTGGCCCAGAAAGAGAGCAATTACCAAAAATCATTCTTTATCTGAAAGGCCTATCTGTATGGCAAAGCAGCATCGAATTCCCAAACATCTGCTCTCCTTATTGAACTGTGAACTACCCTCTTCCCTTCTGAAACCCTACGTCTCTCTCTATCTCATTTCCTAACTCAGGATGGCATATAGGCCTCAATTGCCCAGCTTGTCCTTAAGTCTCATATCTTTGGAGTTCCTGTATGTATGGAATTAAATGTGTTTTCCTCCTGTTAATCTGTTTCATATCAATTTAGTTATTAGAGCAGCCAAAAAAACCTAGAAAGGGCAAAGCGAAAAGTTTTCTACCCTTACCATTATAAAAGCCAATTTTTTCATTTTAGATTGCATTCTTCCTTTGCTCACTTTGCTCTTTAAAATAACCTCCTCAACACCTCTGACTCTCCAGTCTGAAAGATATTTTTTCATTGCAGAAGAATTGGAAAACATAGAAGTACACAAACAAAATTATTACCTGTAATCCCACCCTCCAATGCAAATCATTGCTAATAGTTTGCTGCATTTAATTCCATTTATCCTACTTCTTTGCATAATCTATATTTGTACATTGAAAGAATACAACTAGGATTGTACTTAAAGTTTTATGTCTTACTTTTTCAGCTAATGTTTTATCTTGAGCATTCCTCATGTTGTCAAGTATTCTTAAAATGTAGATTTTAATGGTTGTATAATATCCTCCTACATGATAATTATTTATCCTTTCTCCTATTGATGGAAATTAGAATTTTTGTTTTTTATTTTCCTTTCATATTTTGTTGAACATTTGGCAAATATCCTTAATACAGAACCCTATGAATGAATTTACTGGGTAAAATTCCTGATGCAACTTGAGATATGCCTTTATAGTGTGCAAAGGTTGTACATATTTATGCTGCCATTAACTAGTGGGAAAGCCCATCTCATTCCATCCTTACCAGCATCAAGTATTATCACTGTTAGCAAACTTTTCCCAATAGGAGATTGGGAAAATGGTATGTTACTGTGGTCTAAATTTGCATTTGATTACTAGTGAGACTAAACTCTTTTTAATGTCTAGTGGCCACATGTATGTCTTCTATGAATTGACTACTCATGAGATTTGCCTGTTTTTTTATGAGGCTGATGATATTTGCCCTTAATTTTGAGATTCTGTGAAAAAGAACCTATCAAGCGTTGCATGCCATGAAACCTATCCAGAAGACTAGTGATCAGATACTCAAATTATTTGGGAAGAAGTGCTGTTAGTCTCAGGGGTAGGTTTAATTCAGGTAACAGAGCCACAGATTGGGAGTCATGACTCTTTAAGCCATCTGTAGCCAATGCACACAGTGTTGTAGTGCATAAATATACGTAACCTGCTGTTATCACCTAAAAGGTGATAGAGAAGCACATATATTCTGTCTTTTGATATGCAGGGCTTAGAAACCTATATGAAACCAGGTGTTCTTTCTTCAACTACCTTTCCTGTGGTTTTATAGCCACATATCTCCGACTGTAATACCACTCATTTACAATAGCTATAAAATATCCATGTACTCCCAGAGACGGTTGTAACTGTTACAATTTATGTTATAATGATAGTTAAAGAGCCAAAGTAACAAGTGATCTCCAGTTCAACTAAATTTGTGGTTTTATTTGTCTGATAGATTAAGTTTACTACTCAAGAACACATTTCTTAATAAAGTCATTACAGCTACACAAGCACGGATCACTGTTAAAAACTGGTACAAAGCAAGCAGAGGAAAATTCTGCCTAGTGTTCTTTCTCTGCCTGCCTAGAATTTGGCAACCATGCTTTTCTGTTTCTTGATAATGCACTCCGATATTCAGACACTGCTGAAACACGAATTTCAGTCAGGTTTGGAAGGTGTGATAGGTGATTTATAATAAGAAGTACATATTTGGTCTTCCATCCCGTTCCTGGCACAGACCTAAAACCCTTGGAATTTCCTGTGATAAGAGCAATAAAGGTGTTATGTTAATAAGGTGATGTTTGGAAAGCCCTTAGGTAACCTAAGGATGGGGCTGGCTGTCAGGGGAACAAATCATGTGATTAGAGTGGTGGCACTTTCAACATCCATCCCCTAACTTCCAGGGAGGGGAGTGGGTCTGGAAGTTGAGTTAATAGCCAATGGCCAATGATTTAATCAATCATGACTATTAAATGAAGCCTCCATAAAAACTCAAAAGGATGAGGTTTGGGGAGCTTCCAAGTTGGTGAACATGGGGAGGTCATGGGAGAACAGTGAGCCTGGAGAGGGCATAGAAGCTCCTCACCCTTTCCCACATACCTTGCCCTATACATCTCTTCCATCTGGCCGTACCTGAACTACATCATTTTATAATAAACTGGCAATCTACTAGGTGAAATGTTTCTTTGAGTTCTGTGAATCACTCTAGCAAATTAATCAAACCCAAGGAGGGGGTCTTGGGAACTAGGGGGTCTTTATAGCCAGCTGGTCACAAGCACAAGTAAAAACCTGGGGTTGCCATTGTCTTCAAGTGGGGCAGTCTTGTAGGACTGAGCTGTTAACCTGTGTGATCTGATGTTATCTCCTAGTCGGTAGTGTCAGAATTGAGTTGAATTGGAGGACACCCAGTTGGTGTCTGGAGAATTAGGTGGTGCTGTGTGGGGACACCCCTCTGCCCTAACACACACATTGGAATTGGGTCTCAACTAATTGAACTATACACACTTTTGAACAAGACCTTTGAGTTTGGCAACTGATGAGCTGTATGTTGGAGTAAGAAAGCTGGACTTGGTAATTATTTTTAATAGGGGAAGAAGTATCTACAATTGAATTTATCCTTTGGTTTTGGTTTCCCTTATGTTTTTTTCAGCTGTGCTAAGGAAAAGAAGAAGGCCTGCTTTTTGTTCATACTTGGACCAGCAAGGAAAGCAGGAAGAGTGCCCTGGGGAGCCATGGATTGGGTTGCCAGCAGAAATTAAAGCACCCATGAAGGGGGGGTACAAGCAGAAACTCCAAAGAAGTGTCTGTTGCCTCTGCTCACATCCTTTTCTTGCTCTTTCCTAGGAGTTTGTGTTTTAATAGCTTAAGAGAAAATCCAGTTGACCCTTGAACAATGCAGGAGTTAAGGATGCCAACCCCCTACACAGTTGAAAATCTGTGTATAACCTTTGATTCCCCCAAAATGTAACTACTAATAGCCTACTGTTGACTGGAAGCCTTACTGATAACAAAGAGTTGATCAACGCATATTTTGTATGGTACATGTTTGTATACTGAATTCTTACAGTGAAGCAAGCTAGGGAAAAGAAAATGTTTTTTCAAATTGCTACAAATCTCTAAAAAGTTTTCCAATATATTTATTGGAAAAAATCCACGTAAAAGTGGCCCCATGCAGTTCAAACCCATGTTGTTCAAGGGTCAGCTGTGAACACACACACACACACACACACACACACACACACACACACAACGCACACAAAAGGGGCTGAACGCTAAGCTATGATCACGGCAGTTGATTTCCTTTCATCAGAAGGAGGAGAAGGCTGAATTTTTTTTATTGATATTGCTAGGCTGACCATCCAAACCTACTTAGGCTTGTCTGTAAATGAACAGGACGTATGTCCAGTGTTAGCGTTAACCTCCACTACTCCATCTGAAGTTTCCTTTTACCTTTTCTTTCTTGTTTTACTATCAAGACACTCTCTTTGCTTGCCAGCCCACAAAATCTTAGTGTCAGGAGAGATCTTAGGATGTGGTTATTGAGCTGGACTGATGGGGTTCAAATCCTGGTATCATCACTTACTAGCTGTGTGTGCAACCTCTCTGGGCCTCAGTTTCTTCATCTCTAAGATGTCAGTGATGATAATGGAGCCCACCTGACCAAGTATTATGAGCAGTGAATGAGTTAATACGGCAATTCACATAGTAAGACCTCAGTGAATGTTAGCTGCTGTAATTATGATTTAATGGTAATAATACCACTAATAATAGAGATTGCATAGCCCATATACCTCATTTGATAGGTGGGAAAAGTGGTGCAAAATTATTGAGCATACCAGTCTTCCTCAAAATCTTACCTATTCCTCTCACTTCACTTCTACCATATTATTTAACTTGGACACATTTTGCACTATAGTAATTTGCTCTTGTTTAAATACTTTCCTGTTGGTGAATTCAACTGTGTAACCGTATAATAAACATTAAATTTTTTATACCAAAATATTAATGCTTATATACATGTGAAATAGTGTGTGAAATAATTCTTTCTAGTTATCTTAGTGGAGCTGATGCAAGAGTAACAGATATAGTAGCTTCTATGATTTGAAGGCCCTTCAAATCCCCTCACCCCAAAACCCACACTGCCCAGTGGCCTCAATGCCTGAAATCTGTCTCCAGGTGACTCCTTAGGGATAGATGCAATATTATTGGGACTGAGAACCACAGATATATTTTTAAAATAGAGTCATCTACCTGAAAGCAGGCTCCTTATCTAAATTTTCACAAAATGAATTCCTCCAGCAAACCTGGGGAGAAGGAAGTTGAAATAGTGTGAAGCAAACATGAACTCCAACCCTGAGCAGCCTGCAGCTGCATGCCCTTTCAGCGAAGGTGTTTTCTGAGAACGGAGAGATGCTAAACTCTCTTGGCTGCCTCCCAAATTCCCCATCGTTTGTCAACTGAGGACCCTGTGTTTCAGCTGGGATTGTTTTCCCTTTCAGAGCTCAGGTCACATATGAACATTCACATGTTGCATTTAAAAAACAATCTACCCCGTTCTCAGTTATCTTTGAGGGTAGAGAAAAAAAAATCAATTGGGAGGGTTTTAGATTATTCTTTGCTTCATTTTCTTGTAAACACATGATCATCTTACTTGATTTTATGACTTTGGTTTGAAGTGCTAAGCTTCCTGGATTTTTTTTTCTTTTAATAAAGGAGGCGGCAGTTCTGGGGTTTTGCTGTAACCTCACATCTCAGTCTTTGAAATCTTGTAAAGAGCTCTGGGATCTGACGCTGGGATGTCTCATATAACGGCATTATTATCCATAGACACAGCAAGGTGCAATCTGGATGAAGCTCTTAAACCAGTTTGCTTTTGGTGAATGTCCAATTCTTTTACAACTGCCTCTGTTGTAATCTGCACTCTAATTTCTCTATTGTCCAGGGAAATGCATTTATGGGGACAGATTGATGCAGCAGATGAGAAGATACATGGACTGGACGTAAAAGTATTTTGCAAGGAAGATGATTCAAACACAACTCAGGTTGGGGGAAATGGATTTTTAAAATAAATGAAATTTTAGGATGTCGATATGCTTTATTTCACTTGCTGGAGCTGATGCTGGATGGCACAGGGGTAACAAATCCCCTGCCTGCTTAGGCTGAGCAGGATTATCATGTGTCCCAGCAGTTTGCCTCCCTTACCTTGAAGGGGGACCCTAACTTGGTATGAAAAAAAAATCACTAAACATTGCAGAAAAGCACTCTTGTTGCTTTATCTCTAAGAGAGGTCTTTCCTTCTCTGTTTTTTGCTTCCACCTAGAAGGTCTGGAGTAGATGTCCTAAGGACTTTTTTGGAACATCCGTTATCTTAACCAAATAGGCCTTTAAATGAACCTGTCATTTCGTGTGTGAACAATTAGTGTTTTATATCCTGCTGCCCAGGCATATTTAAAAATTATAATCACACCTTTGTGTGATTTTTCAAAGAGGAGCCCTGTTTCACATGGTACAGCAGGGCATTCTATGTTTCGTGACTATCTGAACCTGATATTCTGTCCCAGGAGCTCTGGTACCCCGACTTGCCTCCTCTCGGGAATGGATGCTCCACCAGGAGAAATTAATTATTCAGTCCCAGGTCTCAAGGTACTTGGGGGAGCAGAGACGCTTATTCTTTACATGTATCCTTACAAATGGGTCACTGCCTGTTCAGCCCAGGAAGAAAGTTACATCTCAGGTGTTATCGGCTTGCCCCTTGAAAGCTACCAGAAGTGAAGGGAAACCACCACCTCTGAAGGAGGAAAGTCAGGAGGAAAAGAGAATTTACCTTGTCAAAACTGGATTCACATCTACCTTTCTGGAATATATTCATTCCATTAAATTGGATGTACCTTCTCTAGGGAAACCAAAGCAGGAGTATAAACACAAATACTTAAGGTCGGGGAGAGCAGGTAAGAATTAACCAGTTAAACAGCCTCCTACCCCCTCTTGCATCCTCCACACTTTCCCCGCCTGGAGGCCAGCCAGTTGTCCCACACCACCCACACTTGCCAGTACATTAGAGTCGATTATTTGTCTCCTTTTGTCAGCATTGAAATGAAGAGTCAGGCTCTGCCAAGGGGGTTCCACTGAGTGGGGCAGTGATTTATAGATGAATTATTTTAAGGAACAAGGCAGCACAGAATGATGCAGTGGGAAGAGTGCCGTGCTAGGCAAAGACCTGCGTTTTAGTGCTGGCTCCAATCCATAATAGCTCTTTGACTTCGGGCAAATCGCTTAACCTCTCTGGGCCTTAGTCTGCTTATCTGTAAATTGGGAATACCAACAATTGATGGTTGTGGTTATCAAATAAAACCTGGCTATGGAAGCATTTTGTTAACTCTAAGGCCCTAAATATATGTAAAGTATTATTTACATAGCCACTAAGGGGCTCCATTCTCCAGTGCTAGGACCTCCGGAAGTACCTAAGAAGTCACAGAGAGGAGAAGGCCCTGAATATGTTGCCCTTATAAGCCATTCTACAAATCTGCTCAACTTCAGCACAGGATGGGAAATGGGTCAATTATAAATAGTATTAACTAAATAACACTTATGCCACTCCTTAACACTTAAGAGCCCCCAAATGTTTTATGACCATTAGCTTCTCAACATTAAGGATGGTTTGGTACATGAAGTATAAAGTACAGTTTACAGTTTCTGTCCATTATCCATGCGTATGGAAGAGAGAACATAGGGTGGGTCATCCTAGAAAGTGGAAAATTCCAAAGGCACATAGTTTATGATATGGTATGTAATGTTTTGTGGAGGCTATAAGCTAGGGGAGGCACTAAGAGATCACTTATTCCACACAATTTTTCTGTGGTGAATCCATGAGGTTGATAAGCCATATGCAGATAATCCTTACTTTTCCCTCATAGAATATCTTTATTTCACAGGTGAAGAAAACAAAGGTATTTCTTAAGCCTGTTATGCAACTGGGTATCAAAGCGAGGCCATCTAACTTCCCCATCCAGGGTTCTACCCAGGAGATCCCACATGTAGAAGAACTCTGATAGAAATGTTCACTGCTACCCACACGGAGAAGTTTGACTATTTGGACTGGTCTTCTCAGTTCAGTGGCATATCTGGTCAATATTCTGTTAGAGACCGGTCAGTAGAATCAGAACATACAAATATACATGAAGACAACTTTGTGGCTGTTACAAAACACACTCACTGAAGTCTGTGTCTGTGTGTCACCAATAGACCTGATTGGAAAGTGAGCACTCTTGTGGATTACTTTGTCCCTATCATGCCATAGGACTGGTTTGACTGCTTCTGGCTGGTACTGGGGGAGGTTGTCTGGCATTGCATTTCCACAGCCTAAAGGTTACCAAATTTTCACTGAATTTTACCTTGAGTGCAGAAAATGCAAGCATTCTAGGTACCCCAGGCATGACACAGCTGCTCAAAAGTCTGGCCTCAATAGTGTGTGATTGTTTCCCTGAGGCTGGCAGTGGCTCTGGGACTGATAGTGAATGTTACTATATTTGGGAAGTTGGTCACAACATCCTAACATCAGTTAATGTTTACGACGAGACAGGCAGACAGAGGGCTGTGGTGTTCATAGGGTTCGTATGCTGCCAGAAAGGCAAATTAGAGAGATTCTGGTTAACTGTGTTGAACTGTGTGTGGTAAGTTCTTGAAAACTCCCAAATCTGCAGTTTCCTCTGGGCAGCCCTCTTTGAGTACCACTAGCCCAATCTCAGTACTAGTCCTTTTACCTCGGCCCTTAATATGTTTTCAATGGCAATGATATCATTCACAGATTTTCCTTTCAGCTTGCCTTTGTCCAAATGTTGCCTTATATCTCACATCCTTTTGTGTATGCCTGCCTGGTCTTTCCCAATAAAATAGAAAGTACCTAGAAGCAGGGGCCTGTTACTGTTAGAGCCCTTTTAACTAGCTAATGACAAAGAAAGCTCCTATTAGGATGTTCATTTAAAGATACCAAACCATTATCAGCCATTAGCACCCACTCTTGAATTAGTATTATCACATAAGGTAGTTAGTCACCTAGAAAAGGTTTGGAAAAATGGGAGTTCAGATGAGGGAAGCTCTGTGGTTTTCAAACATGACCCAAAAGTTCTAGATCCTGTATAAAGTCAGGCCTTACCCTCAGTCTCCGTTCAAATGCT